AAAGCACACTTCATTAGTTTTCGGGAATACCTTTAAGCAATTTTGAGCTAACAAGAAAGTAAAAGAGTGCAAATAAGTAGTCAAAATCCCTACTTATCAAAACCTTATGAGTTTTCCTTAAGAATTCTCCAACTCTTGAGCAATGATTAATGAACAATTTGCTTAGGAATTCCTCCTCTCACTCTAGAGCACTTTCCTCCCTCTAAAATATCAGTTTGAACCTTCTAAAATAAACCCTAAGGTTGTTTTATAAAAATGGGATTGGATTATAAAACCAAAAAATGGACCCTCCGAACTCAGCTTTGCGGTCGCAAAAAGGGACCGTAGAATAAATATGCACCCCGCAAAATGGGCCGCAAAAGTGATGCAAAAAATTGTACCCTGGATTAGTCTGCGGTCAGATCTGCAGCCCGTAGACCAGTTCTGCGGCCACAAAATGGACCGCAGAACCACCTTCCGAATCTCTCCATGCCAATTCTGTGGTAGAAGTGCAGACTACAAAATGGATATGTGATCGCATAACGGACCGCATAAACGATCTTCAAAATTCAATAAATTTTCTACTCAACTCCCCGATGGGTATGCGGCTAGCGGAACTATTCTGCGGTCGCGAACATGACCGCAAAATTGCTTTCTTCTGCCAAAACTTTCCATCAACTCCTCAGTGCATTCTTCAACCCAAAAAGTCTGTAAGAATATCTATAATCATCAAACACATAAGCCTACCTTGGCATCACAAAACCCCAGGTTCTATGTGAAATTTTACTAGGCCTTTCATCTGGCAAAAAGGACGTTAGTACATATGGAATAGTACTAGTATGTAAGAACACCCTCGCAATAGAACGAGTTACATTATAAGGAGAAAAAATTATAGGATCAGTGGAAGCCTCAAACAATACAAAAACATGAAGTTAGGAGCAAGATAAGTTTTCAAGTACATAATATTATTTTAGCTTGGGAGATCGTTAGTACCGATATATATATACCATCATTTTTAGCACGGAGTTCGATCACGATTCGATTGGTTAGGCTGTCTCACCCAAAGACATTCAATCACATTTACAATCTCAATCACAATCACCACCATGTGTGCGGCATGGCATCCGATCTCGACCCGATTGGCTAGTTCGTCTCACCACAATGCAGTGTGCATCGATATCACATTCCCCTAGCTATCATCTCATCCCAATTAAGGAGAATAATCTCAATACATCAATTGAATCCCATTTAAGGGGAATATTCTCAACACATCCGATGGGGGATTTACCCCCCAATTACTACTACAGCGGCACGTGCAATTTTAGGGTTAGGTTATTTCAACCTACCATTTCTCGGTGACTAACGATACTCACAAAATGTTTATTATATACAAAGGGGTTTTTCAGCTCATTTCATAATCTTTTACACCTCTTTTCATTTCATTGGTACTAGTGGCCACAAATGTAATATCATTCTTAGCACGTTGGCCACATTTCATAATTCCTGTTCACCCTTTTCACTTTTAATCATCATCATGTATTATCAACAACAAGTCATTTCTAAACAAGACTTTAGGTATTCATATGAGCAAATAAGAGTCTTAAGCACATTGATTTTTCTTTTACAATTTGGCATAATAACTTTCATTTGTAACACGGCCTGAAGTCATAATATTTTAACACACAAACCATACTTTCAGCACATTCTCGAATGATAACATAATACTGACAAGAGCATTTGAAACACATTTTAAATATATATATCTTTCGATGCAAAGCTTATTCGGAATAGTCAAATTTATAATAATTAACTCGGGGCATGAGAAATAAGAAATTTGCCCTTCATACTTGAGACTTACGAAAACAACGTGGGATTCAATTCTAAGAGAGAAGTTTAGCCAACATACCTCGCATTGAGCTTCCTTAAATTACTACAATATTTCGGAAATCCTAGCAACATCAATCTATTTAAAAACATAATAAAATTGAACTATAATTAGGAAGATATTGGGGGGTTTAGCTCTTCTGAGCATTTTATCAAACACTAGGTGGACATTATGATTTCAAGGCCCTCCTATGGTGGATTCCTTCACCAGACAATCCAATATCTACCCTTTTGAGCTCAACAACCTTGCCACAATTTTATTGGTACATGCATGCATAGATAACATCCCCATACCTAAGAATCACACTCCACATTACCTATCTTCTACCCCAAACTCGAAATTGAAGACTAGGGTATGGAACCTTACATTTTGGATGAAGACCTTGTGAGTTTTCCTTGTAAATTCTCCAAGTCTTAAGCAAGGATTGATGAACAAATAGCTTATGGATTCCTCCTCTCACTCTAGACCACTTTTATCTCTCTAAAATATTAGTTTGGACATTCTAAAATAACCTCCAAGGTTGTTTCATAAAAATGAGATCCGGTTATAAAATCAGAAAATGGACCCTCCGAATTCATCTCTACGGTCGCAGAGTGGACCGCAAAATAGATATGCAGCCCGCAAAATGGACCGCAAAAGTGATGCCAAAAACTAGGCTGCACTGGATTAGTCTGCGGTCCGCAGACCAGTTCTGTGACCGCGAAATAGACTGCAGAATCACCCTCCGCTTTTCTTCATGACAATTCCGCGAAGGAAGTGCGGACCGTGAAATGGATATGTGATTGCATAATGGACCGCAGAACTGGCCTTCAAAATTCAACAAATTTTCTGTTCAACTCTGTAATGGATATGCGGCCCGCGAAATGGTTCTACGGTCGCGAATTTGACCGAAGAATCGCCTTCTTCTACCAAAAATTTCCATCAACTCCTCTGTGCATTCTTCAACCCCGCGAAAAATTTCTACAATCGTCAAACACATTAGCCAATCTCAGCACCATGAAATCCCGGGTTTTACTTACAGATATATTAAAGGAGATAGAACAAAATAGATTTTACTGGAAAACTTCACTCATGATCTTCAAAAGAGTGGGAAAATAGATGTTCAACAAGTTCGTTCAAGTGATAATTTGGCGGATTTGTTTACTAAGGCATTATCTAACTCAACACTTGAGAAGCTGATATACAAGGTTGAAATGTGTCGTCTTAGAGACATTAAGTGATATTTTCGTCAGGGGGAGTAAATATCCTATGTACTCTTTTTTCCTTAACCAAGATTTTGTCCCACTAGGTTTTTCTGGTAAGGTTTTTAATGAGGCAACAAGCAATGCATATAATAAATAACTACGTGCTCTTTTCCTTCCACTTGAATTTTTTTTATATGGACATCCAAGAGAAAGTGTTGAAAATAATAGTTAGTGAATGCCCATGTTGAGCCCCATTACATTTACCGTGTATTCTCCATTCCTCCCATTGTTTTACAATATTGATTATTTGTTTTTCATGTCTATATAAAGGCTTTATAACAAATGGGTAAAAGCACACACTTGAAGAAGAAACTTCTTCGTTCTATCTCTGTTTCTTGTTCGTGTTTTACTAAATTACTTTTATTTCATAACAAATACGATATTTTTTTGTGTTCCAGAAAAGAAAAACATTACAATAGAAGGGTCATTTTCAAAGATTCTTTCAACACACCAAATGGATCTTTGGAACAATATCCATACACACACATATTAGTTTCCAAAAAACAAAACAAATCAAAAAATGAACAAAATTTTTGTATGATGGACAAATTTATAGGTACTTTTCAAATTGAAAATGACATATTTTTAATACAGCAACCGGACCACCTACCCTGCTCTGAACAATTATGAGCACACTAATCGGGCTCACTCACGAATTTCATGGACCAAACTTTTATTTGCTTTTTTCTGATTTGCTTGGTTCATAGCAGAAAAAATTAAGTGTACAGAAATGCGAGCAAACGAATTGGTGGGTCATATGATATAAAGACTTGAGTATTTTACCAATTTCACATGTAAAACATGATTTGTTTTCTTATCCGAGTATCCGACCACACCCTTTTTGTCTTCGCGTCCACTAATTTATGTCGCGTCACCATTTTGCTTTAGAATCTTTAGAATGTTTATCTACACTGATATTTTTTTTCCTGGTTGATGTTCAAATATATCATTATACTATACAGAGTGGAGTAGAAGATTTATTTATATCAATTTTGTCCCTACACTTTTTTCAATTATTAGCAGTAAAAGTTATGACATGTCCAAATAAGTAGAATGATAGTTAATTAAGAAAAGTTTACTGGAAAGACAAGCTTCTGAGAAACACGCATGGAAGACAGTCCTTAGTAGAAGTGAAAGTTAAGAAGGTGTTCAAATTAAGTGCATTTGAAAAGTTTCTGTCAATTTCAACCCACATGATATCCATGGCATGTTATGCCAATATACTATTTTGGAAATACTTGGTCTACAATAGACAATAGGTTAGAAACCAAAACAAGAACCAAATTCAATGCTTGCCAAAATGATAATGCAATCCATGCCTTCTTCATGTCCTCTTTTTAGACTAAAATATGTGGTCATATACATCACAATATAAACGAGCAAGCCGCCAAACGAATAAAAGGGCTAATTCGTTGTAGTTTCCTTTTTATTGTTGCGTAGACAATTTTCACCTTATCCTATGAATCTTTCAAGAATTTTATGTTTCCTTCTTTCATGTTTATTTGCTATTACCAAATAATAGGAAAATTGATGGTTCTCTTAGTTATATTTTGTTAGTATATGTAATTCTTTTGATATAATCCCTCAATTTTTAAGTCGAAATGTGATGATATGAAGGCTGTTATTTGACACTAAGTTTGAATTAATTTTGAATATGATATCTGAATTGAAGAGAATGCATGATTGTAGAGTCACATTTTTCTCATGAATGAATCACTTGAAATAGACTTTTCCAAATTCGATATACGAATCCCAATACTTGTGAGTAGGAAGACAACTAAATCACATATGCTGCAAATCAAATTCACAAACCATCAATTTCTTCTTCGATTACTGTATATATATATATATATCCTGAACAAAGAACACTGAAGGATAGATGCAATCTAACAGACAGGATAGAGCTGCAAATTTTTACATGAACTAGAACTACCACCCGACTGTTTTTAGTTATGGGGTTTTTCAACAATTATGTACACGAATAATCCTAGGTACAAGTGGAAAAATAACACAAAAAGAGCCTTCATCTTAATCTCTAACTTGATGACAAAAACATTAGATAGAGCTCTGAAGCAGAGCCTTAAATATAGCAGTCTCTCGAACACAATTTACAAGGCTAACTCAAAGCCTACAAATTGAGATCTGAAGTGTTTTTAGCGTGTTTCAGCAACTCTGGATGTCAATGCTATCCTAAGTTGCTCTTCCGTGTAAAGTCTGCTACCCATTTTCACTGTGGCTTGTTGGATCATCAAATCATTCACCACTGAAACACTGGCATGGTGCACATCTAGATCTAACTCCTTGAGGGCTACCATTAACCTTGCAGCTGGATGGTTCTTTTTATTACATTGTATACGAATCATCGCATCCCATCCAATTATCTTAACATCTATATCCACATCTACAATCTTGCTTCCAGTATGGCTAGACATCTTGTGATCTTGATTTGGTGGTGGAGGACCAGGGCGCCTTGAGTCTTTACTATCTAATTCTTTCTTCAAATCTTCTATTTGGCTCTTCAAGTCTTCTCTATCTGTTTCTGTAGTTTGAAGCTTCAACTTCAGCTCATTAATATATGAAATTGCATCTCCAAGCAGTGATGCCTTGTCCATCTTGGACACATTCGGAACAACAGCTCTTAAAGCGTAGAACCTTTGGTTTAATTTCTCTCTCCTTTGCCTCTCTGCTTCGACGTGATTCAAAGGTTCCTCCCGTCCATTTGCTGGCTTCCTTCCTCGCTTCTTTGGCCTCTTTTCGGGTTCTACAACTCTACTACTTTCAGCTTCTTTCACCACTGAGGCCTCAAGATCCGAATGATCAGAGTCTTCACCTACACCTCCACTTGACTTCNGAGTCTTCACCGACACATCCACTTGACTTCATCGCACCAGAAGCTGCAGGCAAGATTGTACCTGAAACAAATGAAAGCATTCCTTCTTCATTGCTTCCTCTGGAAGCAGGTGACCTTTTCTTCTTCTTATTCTCCTCCCCTGCACCAAAATGGGACTGACCGGAAAATAAGTTCCCATTTGCACTTTTCTTAGTGCTATCACCAAAATTCAAGATTTCCCCCGACTCTGGCTTGCAAGAAAGTGATGAATTCCCATTCCTATTATTACTACTTCCATCAAACCCGAATTCTGAAAAGTTCAACTCCCTTGTAAAAAATCCTTGTGTTTGTTGCCGAGAATGGTGCTGTTGCTGATTATCACAACTGTGACCATTATTCTCATTATCAAATACAACTTGCTTACTACTATTACTTGATGGAACTGAATTTGCCTCAACTGTATTTAAATCTTTGACTTGTACAGCTGCAGACGATGGATCAGTGAGCCAAAGAGCGGACGGATCGCTCTCGGGTTGCACAGCCCACGAACCAGAGCCCAAATCATTATTGAAGTTAAACAATACTCTAACCTTGTTCATGAGATCAGAACTCTGAATAATCAACTCCGTGGAGCCCAATTCAACCACGCCGTTTGCTGAAGGAATACAAACCATCGTCTGAAGCCCGAATCCCTGGGCCTGCCGAGCCCGTTCGCAGTGGGAAGCTGCCAATTTCTCTGCTCCGGCGACCCAAATAGGGCTGGAATTGTATAAGGCCTGACCCGGAAGCCCACTTCCGTTAACAAACGACTGGGTCATGGAAATAAGGAAGAACCATTCAGTGTCGGTAACTTCTTCATCGACGGCATCATCAGTGCCGGTTTGCGTGCCGGAAATCAACGAATTCAGCTCCCGGAGAACCTTTTTCCGGTGTTCTTGCTCAGCTATATAAGCAGGAGAAGAAACAGCTAATTTCCTATTGGCTTTATCTTCTTCACCTTTGTAGTAACCATCTCCCCAGCCCAACACAAACGGACTCGTTAAATCAACGGCGGATGACTGCCAAAAGATGGCATAGGTCCACGTCTCACGAGCACCATCAATGAGCGTTTGAAGACGCTGTTGAAGGGTTTCTTGGTTGAAAAAAGACATGGATTTTGAAGCATCGACAGCCACAGCTGTGACAGTAGAGGCACAAGAAGACGGAAGAAGAACCGTTGGGGTATTAACTGGAATATGATTAGAATTAGAGGTAACAGCAGCAACAGCAGTAGAATTAGAAGTAGCCCAAAATGAAGTGAGATCAGAAGACATAAAAGCTTCCATCATAGTAACGTTGTCATCGGTAGTACCACTAGTATTCCACAAATTCATGGTGGGTAAGCTGTAATCAGTCATTCCATAAACCCAGCACAAACAGTTGGAAACGGTGGCGTGAAAGATATATAGAGAGAGAGAGAGGAGGAGAGAAATAGGTGAAAAGAGGGGTCTGCGGTGGAGAGAGAAGGTAGGGGGATGGTAGAAAGATATGAGAGAGAAGAACAGGCAAATGAGTTTGAGTTTGCTTATTAGAGTGTGAATTTGAGTTTGGGTTTTATTTGAGGTGAATTTGAGCTGAATTTGGGTGAGTGAGAGGAATGAGAGTGGACAAATGATGGCGGGTTCCACGAAGGAATCGGCAAGTCTACTTTACTCCTTGAGTTTTCCTATTCCGATTTCACTGCCACAATATATTTGGACTTCTAGACTCCTTGTTGGTAAATTCTCTTTTATCCCTGAAAGGAGAACAATATCAGCTAAAGAGCCCGTGTGGACATTCAAAAAAATTCATTTTTTTATTTTTTTTTCCGAAATTAGTATTTAATCATAAAATTTTTAATTTTTACTTGTAAAATAAATTTTTGAACTTTTTAAAAATTTAAAAAACTCTAAAAATTTGTTTTCAAAATTTTCACTCAGATTACTCACAAAATTTAAAAAACAACACAAAATTAAATTCATGTCCAAATACAACTCTAATTTTCAAATATTATTTTTATTTGAAAATTTTTCACTTTCTTTGGAATTTTACAATTCTCATGTCCAAACGCCCACTAAATCTGAAATACGGTAAAAGAAAAGATTCAAAATTCTTCATAATTACTTTAAAATAAATTCAACGAAACATCATTAAGAAAGATCGATTTTTTCAAAAAGCTAAATACTATCTCTGGAGTAATTTCTTCAGTTTTAGCTAAAATTGAAAAAGCTTTTTCTAATGGTGTTCGTTTAAAAAATATCTCTGTTTACCCTAAAATTCGAGTAACAATTAAACTTGTATTGTGGTTTTAAGAATATGAGATTTAATTCAATGCCAATTGATAAAAAAGGAATTAAATAAATAAATTAAAGAATAAAATAGATCAAACCAGTTTGTAAGCTAAATTTCGACCTCGATCTGTGATAATCTCGAGGTATGATGACGGGAATAACAAAATGATAAAACAATTCAGATGAATAGTAAGTGAAATAGCAAGAGAATAATGTGTGTATATTTTATTATTAGTGAACAATGAATCTTACAAATGAGTGGGATCCCCCTTTTATATATTAGGGGAGTCCTAAATAAGGTACAATTCTAATTATAGTAGGAAATCCTATTTGACAACTGTTTAACCGCCGAAAACCAGTCCATTCCGGAATTCACGCCGTGATCTCCGGTCCGTTGCGGATATCTCGCATTTTCCGTTACTGAATCATACCAGCATCATCTCGAAGTACGCCTTCTTCTAACCTCGGTAAGTGTTATCGACCTCGACCTTGGAAAGGAACTTCGACCCCAAGCTCGACGTCCTGGTCTTCCGACGTGATATCACTTTTCCGATCGAGGGACGAAATCGGGTAGCCTCGATTTCCACCGTATACAGATAGTCCCCGGGTTTCTTAGAATAAAATGATAAGAAATGACTTGAGCCTAGATTTTCTAGAGGCCCTGATAATGACGTCATCCTAGTGACGCAAGCGCTCGAGGTGACCGAGATGTCCCGTCAGTTCGGTTCCCCAAAACATTAAATGCTTGCCACACGGTCGGCCACTAGCACCACCGTACCGTCATCGTGAGCCTATAAATACATGCTTCCCATTTGAATCAAAACTTTACTTTCATCTTCACCAATTTCTCTAAATCTCTCCATGTCTTCTCTTCCACTACCTGTTGATTCGATCTTTTAGGATCAAAAAATACCAAACTCCACCTCTTTCCGCTTCATCTCATCTGAATCAATGGCGAAAACCTCCAAAATCGTCCCTCAAAAAGAGAAAGCCTCTTCTTCTTCCTAGCCCGCCGGTGACAAAACGTCGGCGGAACCGCTCCTTCACGAGATTGTTCCTGGCCCTTATGTCCTAAAAAATGACTTCAAAGTCAAGAACCCTCCGTCGATCCCTGGCCGATGTGAACACGTATCGAGGTATATTTGCTCGATATTGGCAAAACAGCTCGAAGTCGTGAAGGAAGACTGCAATTGGGGGCCCAAGGTCGTGGAACAGATCCCCGCTCCCGAAGAAAGTATAACCACTCACGTGGAGGGGTTTCTAAGTGTTTACACTTACCACTTCACATTGGGTCCTCTTGACCCAGTTATCGTTGATTTTTGCAAGATGTTACCCTCGGCCAGGTGCATCCCTCGTTCTAGCGCATAGCGATTATGCTCTGCTTCTTCTTTGGTGAGGCCAAGGGTTTGGAATTCACTTTCAGCCACCTTGTACGACTGTATCGACCAAAACTTTATCAAGGATTAATCAAGCTTCAACGCCAATCGACGAAGTCCTTTTTGCAAGTATTGATGAGGATAATGATCGAGATTGGATGAGCCGGTTCGTGCGGGTAAGGACCTGTGACCTTATCCCTGAGGAAAAACTACCGTTCCCCGAGAAGTAGAACCTCGATTGTAAGTATCGACCATTAATCTTCGTATTTTATTTTTTGCTTTGTGTAATGTGAGCACGTGATTTTTGCCTCGCATGAATTACTACTACAGAATCTCCAAAATTAGGATTTTTCTTTTATTATTTGGTTTTTAGGAATTAATTGGTCAATTTTCGTGTTTTGTTTACATTTTGTGTGCATAATTAATTTTATTTAAATTATAAAAAATAGAAAAAAATATCACGCACTGCATTTAGGATTTAATTTTATATATTTTAGATTAATTATTAAATTAGTTTGTTTTATAAGATATGAAAATCACAAAAATAGTTTATTTTATATTTTAACTCTTTAATTTTGAATTTTATAGTTTTTCTTTGAATTTAGGGTTTAATTAATTATTGTAAATACTATGGTGAGTGATTAATCTAATTGGGTAGGTTAATTTGGTTTTAAAAAATTAATTTTGGTTTATTTTAATTTGAAAAGAAAAAGGATTTGAAATTGAAAAAGAAAAAGAAAAGAATTTGAATAAGGAGTCTGTTTGGGCCATTCTTATTTAAAATTCCCCAGGCCCAAACGATTATGCCTCATTACCCGTCCAAAACCGGCCCAGATCTGGGTCCAACCTGGTCCAAACCCCCCAGTAATCGAAACGACGTCATTTGATTACCCTTTGATCACGACCGTTGGATCTCCTTAATCCAACAGTCCGGAACTGGGGAATCAATAATATATATATGTCCAAACGTTACCCTACCCCCTCGTTTCATCTCCCTCACCTCACCCTTATCCGAAGACCCTTACCCAAAACCCTAACGCCGCCCCGAAATCCCACCGCCTCAGGCTGGCGGCGCCGGTCCCAATCAATACCAGATCAACATCCTAGACTCCCCTTCACCTCCCCGTTCCGAATCCTCACTTCTTTTCTTTCGAATCTGTCTGGAATGCCTCGAATCTTGATTTAAAAGGGAAACCCTAGAGCCGCCCTTGTTCTCTCCGACGGCGGCGCCACCCCTGTTCAACCCCAAATTAACACCCTACAACTCCCATGACCCCCTCACACCAAATCCATAACCCTTTTCCTTCAAATCACCCCAGAACTTTTCGAATTTTAAATCAAAGGTTTGAACCCTAAAATCCCAAACCCAAGTCAGTTGAGTTTAACGAAGGTTTAAGGCCGAAATTGGTTTTATTCGTGTGTTTTCGTTTGAGAACACACGATTAAGGCCTATTTCGTTCAAAAATCAAAGTTTCCTTTGAAGATTTTCAAGACTTTGTCCACCGGGTTTAGGTATTTTTCAGTTCTTTTCCCTTCTTTCATTTTGTTCGCTTAAGTTCTAGTCTCCATCTCCTCTTATTTCGTCTCTTCTCTTTTGTCTCCATTTTTAATTATTTTTGTTTGTGTGTGTTAAAGTCGAGTTTGTTCATGCATGTCGTTTTAATTTCTGTATTTCTTTGTGTTACTTCATTTTTTGGTTTTTAAAGAAAAGAAGTCCGATTTTTTTCTTGGACAATTCTGCCTAGCCCAATGAATCTATACGGGCTTCGAAGTCAGAAGCCCAGGAAAGAGATTCAATCTAGTCTGGCAGGCCTAGATTTTTGAATTGAATAATTGGGTCAATTTGGACCCATGCTGTGTCTAGGTTCTTAAGTTAAAATACAGGGGTAACTAAGGGTTATTTTGGATAATATACTGAGAGAATCTCTCAAGTAACTGCCTGAGAAGCTTCCCAGAAGCTGCATGATATACTTACTTGACCAACAAGTCAGTAAATAAAGGACTACACAGCAATAAGGAAAATTTAAAAAGGACTAAAATGATAAAACTGAACCCTTAAGGCTGCCCTAGTAACTTGCCTATAAAGGCATAGTTACTTGGGTTTCCATTCAGATAGAGAGATTTTTAGAAGGTTAAGAAAACTCAGAAAAAGAGAGCAGCTAAAATTTGAAGAAAAATCACTATTCCATTGAGTTCCACTTCTGATTTTTGAAATTTCAACTTGCTAAGGCAATCCTTGGTTCCGCTGGTATGTGAAATGGCTTGAACTTGTTCTTCTTTTAGAGTTTGGGGTTTAGTTTTGGGTCAAGGTCACTGTTTCATTGGTGTTTGAGTTTGAGTTCACCGTGTATTTGGTTGAATCTGGGACCCTGCTTGTTGCTGTTGAGTTCTACTATTTTGGTTTTTGCTATTGCTGGATCTGTTGCATTACTATTGCAGCTGTTTGTTGCCCTTACCTTTTTTCCTTTGTGTAATTTCCAGGTACATATTCTGAAACCTGCGTAATGTGAACTTCAAGTTGAAAGTGAAATGAAAAAAAGAAGTTAAGAGTCTGATGTTCAGTCGTGTATGTTGTTCATGTGCCTAGTTTACTATTTGAATCCTTACTCTATGTAAATCTTAGCCTTTTATGCTGAATAGCAAGTTTGCTTAAGATCCTATGCATCTAATATGCATAATGTTTGAATGGTTTTTTCGATTGTTGAGGTTATACAGATTCTACTGCTGCTATAGATGCAAATTTGGTATTGCCTACTTAGTAGTTCGTTAGAGATATGTTTAGTTGTAATAAGGGAACTCCTGTCACTTTTGAAGTATAGAAACTATGAAGTATTAATTATAGGCTACATGGTAGCATAACATCAACTTTCTAGTTCATAGTTTTATTTTGC